AACATTTTTTTTTTCTTATTTTCTTTCTTTCTACAATCATACCATTAGTATCACTGTTTTAAGTCGAAACAGTGATCGACACAGCCACTACTAAATCCAAAATTTGATGTTATCTTCCACACGCTTTGATTGATCAACTTGCGGGATCATCACATCAAGCTTTTATTGCAAATAGTTTTTTTTTTGGAATCTCAAACAAATATTTTTTAGTTCTTTAGCTACAAGGACGTTACTTATCCCATGGAAGGCCAGTCTATCATCACCCCTTCCTTCAAGGCGCTTTCTAACAGCTTCCTATGTTTTCATGGTTAGAAAGAAAAAAAAAAAGAGATAATAATGCATTTTTGTTTATATTGAATGAAAAATTAAAAATTTTAAATTTTTAGAAGTAAAAATTTAATTTATTTTTGAATTTTTTCAATTTAAATTTATTTATTTTTATTTTCCTTCCATCCTAGAAAGGGTTAGATTTTTTTGAAACTTCTTTGTTCAATTTTAACTATCTTTACTTTGATTGAGTTTAATATATTTTCACTTTTATTATTTACACTAACATTTATAATTTAAAAAATATATACTCCAGCATAAAAAATACACACCTTACATCAAAGCTAATGAATATATATATGTGCTATTATTACACATTTTATATCAATATCAATCAATTTATATACACACTTAAAGCCATGTATAACAAGTTGAGAATGAGAAAAGATTACAAATCTAAGGAGCATTGATAAATTTGTTGAAAAAAAAGAAGGGAATTATAAGAAAGTTATTGAAAAAAATGAAAGAAAATAAAAATTTGATGGAAATTAGGTCATAGAGTTGTTATGGGAGGTTCGGTATCATCATATTAACGAAACATGCAACTAAATTTAAAAAAAAAAAGACAAAAATTAAGAAGATCAAACTGTGTATTGTTAATAGAATATAATAAAAGATAATTACAATGAACAATAATATAACTTATATACAAAAAGGAATCATAATTAATTAGCCATCATCATAACTAATGTGCTAACTACTATCAATCTCCAAAATGAAGAAAGCTATGTTAGAAAAATTCATTAAATGGCTGCGTTCACAATTAATTCCTCTAAAACCAAGGCAGGTTATGTTAAAAGAGTTAATTGATTGTGTTCACCATCAATTTCACTACGAGCCAATTGTCTTTAGATGTGAGCTAGCCATCTCTAATACTTGGGTTGGGTAGAAGTGAGAGAGATATATTATTTTAATTGATGGAAAGTGAAAGAAATAAAGAAAAGGAGGAATTCTAGAAACAAAGTATTTTTTTCTTTTTTTTCCCTTCAAATTTAGTTTTAATATTTTTTCCCTTCTATTTTCGTTCTAGTCTACTAACCATAGGAGCAAAATGAAAAACCGAAGAGAAAACTCCACGATCCAAGTAAAATTTAAAATTAAAATGTTTATGATTGGAAAATATGATTGCTACAGGTCCAGGCTCCAAGGAAACTTGACCTTCCTATCATGTTTTTCATTCTTCTTCTTAATCTAAAATGATACCATTTCATCACTTCACTTGTTACTTGGTTGGTAAATGGTAATCTAATATAGATAGATTTTGAATAGCGGTACTTTTAAAATTAAAACAAACTAGTGTATGAAATGTAAATTACCAAACTAAGTACTAGTTAATAACACCTTTTTTATTTTTAATATATTTTTACTAATTAATTAAATTTTAATAAAAATTATAAAAATATGAGTAAAATTTATTTATTCAAGAATGAGATTCACATTATTTTTATAAAGTTTAATCAGATTTTAATTATTAACAAAAAATATTTTTTAAAATGCATTAATATATTTTAATTAACAATAAAATTTATATAATCTTCAACAATAAAAAATATATTTAAAAATTTGATTAAAAAGCATGACGTTAGCATTTCTGAATTAACATTAATTATGTACTGAGTGTGAGTGTATCTATCCACCCATCATTGTTAAGGCCCCAAAATTTGAGTCCCCAAATTGCCTCTTGGTATCTCTGTTCCTCATAAGTCACAATTTGAGGATGCCCTTCAAATGATTCTGTTTTCCTTTTGTGACGATCAGAATGGACCCAGGTAGTTCGACTAGTCAATAGGTTTCCCAGGTCCTTTTCACTTCAAATCCCAAGTCTTTGTCCCTCTCTGTCTCTGACTTGAACTTCTCAATAGTTCTTATGCATTATTTTGTCCATTACATGTCAATCACCAATAGTGTACTGATTTAGATTTTGTTCAACTCAAGATGCTGAAATTTATATCCACTTCCCTTTTACCATCCTACAAATGTGGCCATCATTTAGCTCCCACCTTTAATTTTAAATAGATATATTAGCCAAAATGAATTTTTTGATGCATTATAAAAATTTCATCTTGATTTTTGTATATATTCATTTAAACTTTAGAAAATAATAGCTTGATGGAAGATGTATGCCTTGGTGATGAGAAGCATCACTCTATAACTTGAAAAAGTCTGAGCCCCATGAACAGAGCAAAGTTAAACGATGCCCTGTTTGGCCATGTGACATAAGGTGCTTTGGTTTTGATTGATTTGGATTCTGATTTTAGCAACAACACTGTATCTGTGCAAAAATTGTCCAGAAATTACCTATATATTTCTTTCGAAAGATGGCACTAGAAAAATTATCTTCATTTATAGCAAAAGCTGAAATGTGACTTGTAATATTAAACCAATTAATATTGTTGTTGTTGTGCATTACACTCCCACATGCATGGTGCTTAATAAGTTATGATATTACGTGCAACTAATCATGTCAGCTTTAATTAACGATTCGTGTGTTTTTTTTATCATGAAATTTCTTTTTACTCTTTAAAACAAACATTGTTGGGATGAACTCGTTTTAATTTTCTGCTTTTTTCAAAATCATAATTAAAGTTTGTAGTTACTTATAGAATTGGCCACAATAGCTGCTTCCTTGCTTTGTGAAATGTGACAGAAAATGAATCATTATAGCTTTTTGAGTATAGTCAGTACGAAAGCATTTAGCAAGATTAACAATCAAGTGATTGATCTGTTCTTTAGAACTCAGCCTGTGTGGATCTGTTGTTACTTTCAAGCAAACAACTATATGTCATCTTCAAGCTCATGCCTCTTAATTAATAATTTTTAATGTATTGACATTTATAATTAAACAATAATATGAATAAAATTTACACTATTATTATATTTTTATTTTTTATATGTTTTTCAATATTAGTAGCTAAGCCATATTCATCTTTTATCACTAAAAATGAAAATTTCAGGTTTATAAGTAGCATCAATCATAATCAGATGTCAATATCCATCTCCATACAGTTCACCCTACTACCAAGAAAAGTCATTTTAGTGAATTCTTATCGTCAGAAAGCATACCAAACAACAATTAAATGAATAAAATAATAGTAAAAATCTATCATACAGATATTTAAAAAAAATATTCTTAGATTTGGTTTTTTTAAAAGAGAGAGAAAATTATTTTTTTCTTTTTCTTTTTCACGAAAATTAAATATAAGGAAAAAAAATCAAGTAAGAAATAACATTCTAAATTTCAGCAAATGAATTGTGTCGCTATTTCTTTTCGTGTGCATATGAATTGTCGGGTGATTGTACACCATATATCCTAAACATATACAGAAACTTTTTGCATTTTTTCTCATGATACTGTATGCACATAGCTAGAATCCAAATGTACTAGCCAATCCCATGTGATTTTGTATTAGATCCAATATTAATAGGACCCACGCATTCAATTCTACACACATTACATACGTGGTCCAACAATTTAAATGAAAAATATTAACACAACATTTTTCTTATTTAAACAGTTTAAAATATAAGTTTCAAGCTTGTTAATAACACTACCCTAAAATCAAGACAAATGACAAATAAGTCTACGTTAAGTTTCTTATAAATTAACATCTCAATGTCTCAGTCTTCTTATCAATATTTACTAATTTTATACAATCAAAAGATAGTGTTTCTTCCGTGTTTTTCTCTTATGAATTCACATGTCTTGTATAAAGGTTTTTGATATAATTTGTGTTTAAAGTTGATGGTAGCAAGTGCACAACGAGAACAATAAATAGTATATAATCGATTTATATTACAAGTAACGATTCACTTGTGATGCATGTGAGGACTTCCAACAAACACACACATGCAATGTTTCCATACGAGAACAGTTAACCCCGTAAACTATAAGTATAACCTGTAGGTCCTTCCTTGATTATACCTTATAAGCATATCTTAAACATATACAGAAAATGTCTTACAAAGCTTTTTCTTTTTTAAACATAATATTGGCTAAGATAACTGGGATCCAAACTTAATAATCAAACCCATGTGATTTGGATATACACCCAGTATTATTAATAGGACCCACATGTTCTACTTATTGTTATTTTCTAATATTGTGCAAGACCAACTATCAGGGTGTTCGTTGTTAAATTCATTTTCAATAATTAAAAATTGATTAAATTAAATATTGAAAATTTTATGCAATGCAGTTTGATTTTTATTTTATTACACTTATAATTGAAAACCTAAACCAGTGGACCAATTAGGTTAAAAATCTATGTGTGAATTCAACAAACACGAAATATCTCGATCTTAATCTGTGCAGAAACAAAGAGAAGAAGAAGAAAAAGCAACATAAAATGAAGAAGCTCAGATCAGTGGCTACCAGCTGCTCGTGTTACAACAACGACATAGATACACATCCTATCCATCGATCGAGGAAATGAAATACAACTGAAGAACAAAAGGGCAGAAAATAATCGAATCGGAAAAAACGAACAAAACGGAACGGGCGGGGATCCCGTTTGATCCGTTACAGATCCAGGTTTACAAATATAACGCTACTAATAATGAGTTCTAAGTTGTGCGTTAAAAGCATGTTGAAACGCAGTTCTAAAAGTGCTATTATTGTTGGGGGGGGGGGAAGAAAGCGTGGGAGATGCATGCATGCACGCGCATATGGCACGCTATGTCGCGAAAGCATGCGACACGCGAGGTGCGTTGCGGTGAGGCCTCGAAAGAGGTGCCTTGTTTACACACCCGATCCTACTACTACTACTACTACTAAGACTGTTACCGTTCACAATCAAATTCACATGCGTTGATGACGTGGCACCTCTCTGTCCCTCTGATCCACATTTCACCGGTTGTGGCCCCACACTAACCGCCTTCTCACACCGACAACTCACCAGCAAACCGTTTCCCCCTCTCCGTTTCCACTTCTCCTCCGCCGCAACGCCGCCCACGCCAACGCCTGAGGCCGCGTCGTCGTGTCCTTCCACGGTCGTCACGCTCCACTCGATGCTCGCCTCGCTCGGCTCGTAACACTCCGTTATCGTCGGAGTTGTTGATCCTTCGTCCATGCTCCTCCGCCCGAAGAAGAACCCCGAGGGCGTTGCGGTGGTGGTGGAAGCCTCGTCGAACGAGTCTCTGCTGTTGCGGCGGTAGACGGCGGGGTAAGTTGATTGCGTGGCGGTGGAGAAGCTCTCGATCTCGAACAGATCGGAGCTCGCGTCGCTCGCAGCGTCGTCGTCTACGACGACGGCGAGCGACTTCGGCGGGAATGGGAAGTTGAGCGGCTTCGGCTCGACGATGTCGTCCGGTGGTCGGAAAACCTCCAAGGAATCTCGAGGAGGATCTTCCTCGACGACGACATTCGGGACTTTGAGTTTCGTGACTGAGCCGTGAGGGTTTAGCACGGGGAAAGTGAAGCCATCGGTGAATGGTACTCTCACAGAGCTCACAACTCTGTGAGTATTAGGGTTTTGGAATCTTTGTGATTTTGCAGCGACGAGGGTTGCTGCGGTTTGGTCAACAACCCAGTTGTTGGGTGTGATGTGATTATGAACGTTAATTTCAGCTCCGTGATCCTGTGTCTTGAGAGAGTAATCTCTTTGAATATTGGTTTTGGGTTGTGGAGTTATTTCTTTGACTTGAACTGATTTTTTTCCCGTGCATGGACATTTTGATTTTCTCCTAAGGAGCCAAATTGGTTTGGAGAGTGATGTTCTGAGTTTGTTGTTGAGATCGTTCGGGTTCTGATTTTGAGGGTTTTTCATGGAAACTGGGATTGCGCCTGGGGGATGAGATAGCAACCCGGTTTGGCTGTTCCAACTGGCTTCTGAGGAAGCAGTTGGAGTAGCCGCGTGGACGGAACGCGCTCTGGAGTTTCTGATGTTGGCGTAGCCATCCACTGAGGATGAAGCAGAGGAGTATCTGGTTGTTGTTGTGGGGGTGGTGGTTTCTGTGATGACGTCACCTCTCTCTGGGATCCGTTCTATGTTTTCCATGGGAGAGACTCTGCTGTTGCTGCTGATGGTAACCTTTTGGATGTTGTTGTCATTGATGGTTACTTCGTTGAAGTACTTGTGTGCATCGAATATGCTAAGCTCTGAGGTGGAGTCTTCAAGAACTCGAGGATGGGGTTGGCTGCAAGTGATTGTACTCTTATCGGGTCTGAGATATGATGAGAAGGATGCATCTCTATCTCTCAGGGTCTTCATCACTGTTGCTCTTTCCATTTTTTTATGCTGTGTTTATTTAAATATATTTGTGACTGAAAAAGCTGAGCTATTTGCGATTGAAATTCCTTGTGTGCTGATATATATGTGTGTTCAGGTCTCTGTACTAACTTGTCCTGACACCAATTATGAAGCTGTAAAAACTAGAAACATCATATGCCCTTCTCTTCCTTTTTTTCCCTTTCTTCCCTCTATAATGAAACAAATTCCCAACCTATGATCTGCCTCACACATACTTTCTCGATGTATTATAAGTAAACAACAAAAGCCTGAATTTTAAAAGAAGAATATCCGGACTAGATTATGATATCTGTGTAGATAGAGTGATGGAATAACCAATTATGTGTGATGCTTCATCATTTGGTTGCATCATGGCCATCGGTTAGTAGCTTTCTCTGTCTATGAATTTAATCATTGAAACAAAGTTGGATGACTTTTGATTTGTATGCTACAGATAATAGTTGCTCGGGCTAGCGTAGAGCACGGTAAAATACAAAGAAAAGAAGGTTCAACAAGAAAATTATTTATGTTTTTCTACACAGTTTTGATAGGTGGATGATTCTATGTGTCTGTAAAGTTTCTATCAAGTACAGTTTACTCAATTCATAATATGCTGTTTTAGAAATACAGATGTAGTAAATCTTGACGATCGCTCTAGGAATCCCAGCTGTATTACATATCAGAGTTACTTAAATGTGCAACAAACTGGGTACCACACCTCATTTGATAGGTAGAGCTATTACGCATATAAAAACTATTGGCCAAATATAATTAACAATACTTTCGGATTTTACGTTGACATATGACACAGAACAGACATTTTAAGCTCTTTCAATAATTGAGTGCTGGTATTACTATAAGTAAAGCAATGATCTATAGTTATGTAGGAAAATGGTTGGTATACACCCGTGAGGAAGTGTTGTGTAAGTGTATATTATAGTTATGTCTAGTCCAAATCAGTATCTTGGAATGGCATAATAATGTTAGGCCTATGATGTATGCCTCTTAAGGCTTTTAGGACTTCAGAGTTTCAGGGCTGAGGTTACTATTTCAGAGACCTAAAAATTGCTGGAAACACTTTTTATCCTTGATGGAGTGTTTCCCAACTCTAGATCTGTGACTATTTCTCCCGTTCTTTTCCTTACTTTCTTAGTAAGTTTCCTCTTCCTGTGGTCGCCTGATAAGTTTGGTGGCGTTGATTCAATAAAGTAGGCAAGGAAGCACGTCCTATCTGACATCAAACATCAGCCAGGTAGCAATGTTTATGTGAGAGGGTCCATTCCATTTGACATTTAGGGAAGAAGGTATGTCTGAACTCTTGGGAGACCATAAAGAACTGTCTTTATGGGTTTACCCAAATCAATTATCAAAGGTGGATTGATTTGGGAAGCAGCGCATGGTGGGTCACCATTAACCTTCTAGGTAACATGCACTGCTTTATTGCCTGCCTTTAGACAATTTATGTATGGCTCTTGATCAGATGGTGGTCCTCATTTTGCCTTAGAACAAGATTTTGGTTACATTCTTTCCATCAGATAATATAATAGATTCTTTTTACTCGACAATCCTTTAACAAGTTATCAACATCTTTTACTTTACATAACTTTTAGCTTTGTTGATAGTGCCGAGTAATACAAATTGATGTTACTCTTCGTTTAGTGAAAAGGATGCTGTCTTTCTTTACCCTTGGGTTGCAGAGAACTATTAATTTCTTGTTATATTATTTTATTGTTTTTTTTCTTTGTTGGCAATCCTGTTAGGTGGGGGAATAAGATTCTCTTATTCAGGACCATCTTAGTATGTATGCACATTCCGTGTGTGCGTGTGTAAAATAACGTAGAAGTTTGAGGAGACTCGTTGTTTCAAATCTGTTTCCGTGGAAACTTGCATGTATGTGTAAGGTGACGTATGCAGTACTGCAATTCTTAAATATTATTGTCTCGTATGTTCTTTGCTGATTTCTCTTTTCTTCTGTCCTCAACTTCTTTTTTATAATATTATGAATGGTTGGTTAGGAAAAATAAATAGCCTCTTTACCTGTAAGAATTTTCTGCTGATGTTACAGTTAACGGTTTCTGGTTGCCATAAGTATAATATTCTATTATTTGATCCTCATCAACGCCCAACAAAAAGCGAACATCATAATTTCTTATTGCTCAAATTTGCATTTTTCTTGTCTCACATGATAATTAATTTCTGCGAATTAACCCCTGCTCTCTGTGTGACGCTGGTGATAGTAATCTAAACACACAAATTATAGAAGATTCTAAATACAGTTGTTTTGTGAGACAAGTGATTCGTGTTAAAAGGCTACAACTTTTAAGCACCAAAACTCAAGATCAACTTTTAGTTAGAACTTATTTTTATTGGTTAAAGAGAAATGAATGACTACCGTAGGACATGCTGTGAGTTTCATATCCAATGCATCTTTATCCGTCATTAGTAACGTCAACCAAACAAGTTAGTTTAACTTGTTAATGTTACGTGAGCTGTCTATTTTGAGTAACAATAATGTCATACTGTGTGAACTTGACCCATATATATATATATGGTAGATGCTTATGTCGGAGATCACACGTGATTGTAGAATACAAAGTCCCATTTTGCTTCATTAGGATGGTGATAGGATGATTAAGAATCGAGTTTTAGAGGGGGAGTAAAAATTTTATTTTTAAACTAAGAGTTATGTGATTTTTATAAATATAAATAAAGGATCAATTTTATATTAATTTATTTTTTATTTTCAAAAATTATTAAATTAGATAATATTTATCAAAGTCCCTGTTTTTTTTTTTTTGTGTCTAAAACTTAACCTTCAGAAATAAAGAATAGAGTTGAATTAGAGAAAAAGAACGAATATTTTTTTTTTTGGTAAGTTTTAGTGCCGACGATATGATCTAGCTTGATTTTTTAGTAAGTTAAAATTAAGTTATCCACTTTTTTTATTATTATTATTATTAGTTTGTTGAGAGAATTTTTAAGGACAAATTTACTTTGACATCTCTTTCTAGGTGTAAAATTGGTAGAGGAACGAAAAAGATAAAAAAAGGAAGAGAGAGAAAGTAAGAGATGTGATTAATGATCCAACTTTTACATTTTTATATCCACTTTTTCTTACATCCGTTATTCATTATCCTCATCTTTCTTCTATCCCTCTTCTTTTTCTATCATATCATCAATAGCATCTCTTACTCTCTCTCTCTCTTTAACTTTCCTCTACCCAAGCCCTTTCCTCTATCTGTCTTTTAAGTCCACATAACACAAGTGGACACCTTTGTTTTTTCAGGATCAAGCAACTACACACTTATGCAGGCTCAAACACGCCCACAGAGTCCAAAATTTCACTCGACGACCCAACAACTAAAATAAAAAACAAATCTGGTTGGATTTCACCAAAAAAAGCAGACCAAAAATGTTTTTGAATAACACTTTTCTTAGAGCAAGAAAAAAAGTTGTAAAAAATGAAAGAAAAAAGTTTCATTTAATATTATTAATTCAAAATTTCCCTTTCCTTTTATTGACAGTATTACGTAGATATTTTTTTTTACATTCTTGAGAAATATACGTCTTAAAAAGAAAGAGAAAAAAAAACAGGGATAAATAGATAAATACAATGAACAAGAAAAATAATAAAGAAAGAAATATATAAGATAAGTGTAATTAGAATATTTTGAATCCTTGTTCAAATATATATGAAGAAAGGATTAATAGATAAATGCGATGAAAATGATTCAAATAAACAAAGAAGTATATACAAGTTGTGTAATTAAAAAATAGCGGCGAGATGAAGATATATTTTATTATTACTTTTTACATTTACCATCCTCAAAAAATCTAGCTCCTAAAAGTATAGTGCCGTGAATACAAAAATTTTCATGAGTTCAAGAATTCATGTTTTCTTGGTTGCCACAAAAGTTTCCACCAACACCACAAAAAGAGAGTGAAAGGAAATATGGCTAAGTCAGAAAATCCTTTCCTGGCCATTCATCATCTATGGCTCTTCTTCCTTCTTCTCTCAGAACCCTTTCCCATATCTCATCTCAGCTTTATCTTACTTCCTTTCACAACCCCATCATTCTTGCTCCACCATCATCTTTCAATCCACTGATTCATTCAAAGCAACACCAGAACCACAGAAGCAGCAATTCCAAGCTCTTGGCTATTTCTTATAGATATTTCACTGAACAAGAAGAAGATGATGATGATGACGATGAAGAGCACAATTTTGATGAAGCAGTGACTCTCTTCAATGGAGGAGAGTACTACAAGTGCCATGACTATCTTGAAGTCCTTTGGAACAGCGCTGAAGAACCCGCTAGGACACTCATTCATGGAATACTGCAATGTTCTGTGGGTTTTCATCACCTCTTCAACCAGGTTTTTATACATTACTCGTGTCAATGTTCCATTTTATTTCAGTATAATTACATTGAGTTTGATTTAGATTATTTCTAATAACACTTGCACCAATTTCGCTTGTTTTATTTATTATTCTTATTTTTGATAGCACAAGTACCTTTCTTATTTCTTATATAATTTTTCAGTCAAATGGGATGTAAGTATAATTAGAATAAACCTTAAGAGAGGTTAATTAGTATAATTACTATTCCTTTAATTTATGATATGGTTTTGTTTGATTATGAGTTGTTTTCTAAAGAAAAAAAATCTTAATGGGCTGAATTAATAGAACCATAAAGGAGCCATGATGGAGTTGGGGGAAGGATTGTGTAAGCTGAGAAAGATGGAATTCTCAAATGGGCCGTTTCAGAAGTTTGAGAAAGAGATTTCAGCTGTTCTGGATTTTATCTACCAGACTCAGATAGAATTAGCCGCATGTGAGTCATTCTAAGTCTCATGAGTCCTGGAAGCATTTTTTAAAAATACTCACAGTTCTTAGTTAAATTTTTTTTAAAACTAAAAAAAGTAACAGTTGCTATTATTTCTCGTCTAAGTTCTAACCTTGAATTGCCATGCACACTCTGTTTGGCTTTGAAGAAATTGCAATTATGTTTTTTTTTTACCCTTTGAATTTGAGCAGGTAGTGAGGATATTTGTGTTGCAATGGATCGATCAGAAAGATCTTACCAACTTCTGGGGGAATATGCTTCAGGGAAACGGGTATATGATCTAGAACTTGGTCTGGATGCATCAGTGTACATTGTTTTCTGCCCTCAAGGGTCTAAATCTAATCATGCCACTGAAGCCCCAAGGGTAAAGCTTCCCAAGCTTAAGGCTACCATGGAACATCTTATAGCCTATGAATATAAGTAAAAGTCTTCTCAAGACCAATCATGAAGTTCAAACCACATGCAAAATTGTTCTTCAATTACATTAAGACTAGATGCTACACAAATCGTTAAAGGTTACATCCTGGGAAGAGTCCTCTTGGCTCTTGTGCAAGTATCACAATGAAATCGTTAAGTAAAAGCCAAAAATAAGGTAATTGTATATTAAATTAAAATAGGCTCTTGAAATTGAGTTAGTTTTTAACATTTTACTTTAATTTAAAAATACTCATGCTCTAGATGGAATATTAATAGTTGAATAATAATGACAATATTTTGAACGAGCTACTTCTATAGACTTGACAATTTGTAAATTATCCAAAATCTGATTTGTACAATAATTAAGTTAATGTCTTATGAGTTAGCGGTTAAATTAATAAATTAACTATAATAAAAAAGATTTTATTTAATTCAAATTTAACACGAAGTGTGGATTAGTGTGTGTCTGTTTTCTTCAAAACGACATGGTGGAGTTTGCAAGACTGTAATTAACATCTATATATGTCCACTTTATGAATTAATCTAACTCTGATTTGAAGCTGGAAAATGTCACAAACATTTATGGTCAACCGAAATTAAAATGTTTAATTCCACCTTTATTCTTTATATTTTGATTAATGTACGATTTTGGTCTTGTTAATTTTTAACAGTTTGTATTTTTTAATTATTTTAATTATTTTTTCTTACTGATAAATAAAAATATCATGCGAGTGTAACATGCCTAACTTTATTTATTTAAATTAATAAGCCTTTCATCCTTAAATTTTAAAACTTAAATCTATCAAAATTAATTTTAGGCCTAATTAATAGGATAAAAAGAATTGTAAACATACCTAATTTAACGTCACAATTTCTAACTATTCATAATTAACCAACACTCAAAATATTAATTATGACGATTTCTTTTTTCTTTTTAAATTAATTGTGATAATTTCTAAACAAATTATAAATTTACTTTTTAAACCCTAAACCCTAAATAATAAATTTATTTAATAATAAATTATTATATTTAAATAAGTTAAATAGCAGTTAAGTCTTCAAATAGGAGCAAAATACAATTAAAATTAAATAAACTCAAATTTAAAAATAAATGATAATATTATATTAATATATTTTTTATATTCTTAATTCTATTATTATTAATATTTAATTATTCTATTAATATATTATGTTATAATTTTTTTATTTATAATAAATAGAAATTATATTTTATTTAAAACTAAAAATATTTATATATATGTTTAAATAATAAATTTATTTAATAATAAATTATTATATTTATTATATTTAAACAAGCTGAAGAGCAACTAAATCTTTAAACAAAAACAAGATGCAATTAAAACTAAATGAACTAAAATTTAAAAATAAAATAATAATATTATATTAATATATTTTTTATATTCTTAATTTTATTATTATTAATATTCAATTATTTAATTATTATATTAATATATTATGTTATAATTTTTTTTTATAATAAATAAAAATTATATTTTATTTAAAACTAAAAATTTATAAAAAATGATAAAAAAATAAAAAAATAAATTTAATATACAATATAATAATAATAGTAATAATAATAGGATTATATAACAAATAATATAATTTTAAAATAATTATATATAATAATATATTTTTTTAACTTGTCATATATTTTTTTTTATTGGTATAAATTTTTAAGTATAGTACACATAAAAAAATTTAGGATACCAAATCACACACCTTCTAACAAATCACGTCATACTAATATTTTTTTTAACAACACATAATTAAAAATTTCAAATAAAATTTAATATTTTAAAATTGAAATTTCTGGTACTAATAACTGATACAACAATATAATAGTATTACGTGAGAGTTGTAAAGAGATAAAAAACAATTTTGGCCAAAGTATAAAAATTAGGTTATCATTAAACATATTTTATATTCCATATTACATTTTGAGGTCGTTTGGCATTTAAAAGACTATAATCACTGCTACTTTCAATACTTACATGGTTAAGAAGACTTTTGATACAATATCCTTTCACTTGAATTTACTGTTATTTCTTAATATTTGTCAAGTCACTTAAACAAATACTACTTGTTATGACAAAAATAAATAATAATAATAATAATAATATAACACACGTAATGTCTTCAGCTTTTTTTAGTTTGCGTAAACTCTTAAACACACCGTGAGTTGAAATTCAAGAGGTAATAGAAAGAGTGAATTATATACAATTTTAAGGCATATCATTAAAGGATATTAAGGGAGTTTGGAAGATTAACAAACAATGAGAAGCCATGGACTATTCTTAAAAAGTCAAAGATAAAATTACATTCTCAAAGTGAAGATAAACTAAATAAAAGAATTTAAACAACAAAATCCTGATATGGCTGTTTTAAATAATGTGGCAATTTTTTATTGGTGGTACAAGCCACAAGACAGCAAAGCAAGACAAGATTTTCGTCCCAGTCCCAGTAAATGTATGATCGATTTTCAAATTAAAAATAGATTATTAGAATAAGTTATACATGAAACCCAAAGTACTATCTACAATAGTGATTAGTTGTTTTATTAATGGAATCGATTGCCCTTTACGAAGAACTAAAGGGGAGCCAAAATAAATATAGTAAGAATCACCATTAGCATAAGATATTTTATTTTATTTTTATATCTTTCTTTGCCAAACATGATATTTTGGCATTAATTACTAGTCCTGAAAGGATTCTAATCCATTATTTTTCTGCTACCTTTATGCCAAAACACAAGCGGCCAAGTTTGAATTTACTATTTGAGAATAAGATTCCTTTGTTAACAGAGCATCGGCACGGGCATGGGCATGGGCATGTAGCACATACCATCTTCGCTATTGTCATTGAAGATGGGACGAATGAGGCTTGTGGTGTCAGATTTCGTTCTATCTTTCATGTGGGCTTGGTCGGGTGTTTTGGTTCGGATATTTGTCTTCAGAAACCTTGGCTTTGATCACGACCACCTCGGCGAGGTCGTTAAGACTGCGTTTTCCATTGCCAACATGTTCCTCTTTGCGTACCTTTCCAAGGTTACGCGTGGTGGGGCCTACAACCCCCTCACCGTTTTGTCCGGTGCTATCTCTGGCAACTTTAGCGATTTCATTTATTGCGTTGCTGCTAGAATTCCCTCTCAGGTTCTTCTTTTCTACTGTTACAGATCACCTTTATGATAATATCTGAATTGCCCCTTTTCTATTTATTTATTTTTTGATAGCTTGGATTGGTTGGAGATGTGAAGAAAAATGGGTGAATGCATAATCGGGGGTCTTGCATATTGTTTGAATTGTGTTGATAAATATTGCGTCACAAATTTTTGTTTTGTCAAATTAACATGGGCAATCTAAAAGTTGAATTTTTTTATTTTTATAAAATAGCTGGTAATGTCTAAAATTTTACTGTGTTGAAATTCATGCTAATGCAGCTTCATAGTAATCCTTTTTCTTCTTATCAGTTTAATGAAAAGGTTCATAAGTTTAGTTGAATTAGATACTAAGGGTTTGTTTTATGAAAAGTTTATGTAGTTGACGATTCTCATAAGTTCTTTTCAGCTTATCAATAAGCTTCTTCATATAGCTTATCAAAATAAGCTTTTTTCTACTTATATCAATAAGTTTCATGGTCTAATTTATAGGATAAACCCCTTATGCGATAAGAGCTTAATGAATAAGTGCTTAAGGAAGTTGTTATTCAAACACACCCTAATATAATTTTTAAAATTGTTGGTTGATTTATTCTTTAAATTAAATTTGTTTTGTGAATCTGTCTCTGATGTGGTTATGACTATACTAATTGGTTGAATTCTTTTCTTTTTAATATCTATCTCTGAGTAGGTTTTGGGTTTTGAATGGATGAGCATGTTTCTGCTCTTGAAGTCTCTAATATTTATCTGTCTCTTTGCGCTGTTGTGCCCAATATGCTGGCACTAACATCCATTTTAACTCAATCATCTAGTGTTGAGTGGAGCATTTCAAGTTTTATTAGAATACCTTTAAATTGTCCATGTGCAGAAGTTGGCTTAGTTCTGTTTTTAGACTTCTAACCTTTGATACTTGAATAATTAAAAATTTGAAGCAAAGGTGTGCCGTTGTTAATGTTTGAAATTTTCCCTAAAGATTTAAACCATGTACTTCTCTCATGTTTGATTTTCCCTGTCTTGATATCACATAAGAGAGGCTAGGAGGACTAGAAAATTACAGACGATGGCTGAAAAATACCTCTAAGGAAAGAATAACACAATTATCTTGTTATTTTGATTAGTGAAAGACTTTTCTCAAGACATGATAAAATGATTTCCGTTGCCCATAATTATTCTGTGTTTTATAACTAGAAAGCACAAACACCTCTCTAGTTGGAGCATGTGATGGTGGGATTAAACTACAACCTCATGAATTATCCTTCTATACCCTTTCTTCCTGTCACCACACAATCCATGTATCCAAGTGGAATTAGACTTGGTTGTTATATGTTTCTACTCCTTTAAGCAAATCACACTTACCAATCAACTTGTTGGGTTATAATGTGTTTTTATCTCGACAAGAGTATTTGTTGGTTTTTGTGGCATAAAAAAAATAAACAAAGAAAAAATATGTAGAATTGAGGAGAATAAATGGGAAATGAACTCATCTTTATTCAATAGTAATAATACATTTATAATAATTCAAATAAAATAGAAATTAATTATGTAACCGAAAGATTTTTAACATACTAAATTATTCCTAAAATGTATAAACTACTTATTAACTAGGATACTGATAATAAACTGAAACAATAAAAAACAACTAAAAACAGTTACAAAAACATATTGTTAATACTCTTTCTTGCATTTTAAACTTCAAATCTTTTTTTTTTCTCTAATTTAAATTTATAACAAAAAATGGATTTGTTATCAATAAGAATCTTGCATTTATTTTTTTGCTTCAAATTAGAATCAAATAAAATTTTTATTTGCTGCAAAACTTAATTCAAAGTAACTTATCTAAAGAAATTTCTCACATCATTAACAGAGTCAATCCGGTTATTATTAGAAAAATTAGCCAACTTGAATTTTTTACTTCTTTTGAAGTTGATACCTCAGTCTTTGAAATTTTTAATTACTCTTTTTGCATCCTTGAGACTCTTTCATTTACATTGAATTATTGTGATATTTTTTTTGCATTAGAAAACTGTTTGTTCCTCCTCCAATAGGTTTATAGTAAAAAATTTCTTTTCATTTTTATTTTGAAAATATCTTGACCAACTTTATCTTTAATTAAATAATATTTGTTTTTAAAAATAACTTTAAATTCTCTTTCAGTTAGTTGACCAATACTTAAAAAATATTAGTCAATTTCTAGAACCAAAAGAACATCATGAATTAATTTTGAATCTAAATAGCTTGCTATTGCAATTGTCCTATTTCCTTTAATTGAAATAGAATCATCATTACCTATTTTGACTGTGGTGATGTTAGTCGACATCAAATCTTTGAAGAGTTTCTTGTTGTTGGTTATGTGGTTAGTGCAATCATTATCAATTAACTAACCTTCATTTGATTTCAAGTCTGAGAAACAAGTAACAACAAACAAATGATCTTCTTCCTCTTGATAAACAATCTTGACTTCTTCATCTTGGTATTGGTTTTTATTCTTGCCTATAACATCTTTATCGTCCCATTTGGCTGCATTTATTGCATTGTGAATCAGGCTTTTTTTGAATATTTGAAAGGAGAATGATCATTTTTTCTATAATGATGACATGGAAAATAAAATTTCTTCTTGTTATATTTTACACTTTCACGATGCGTGACATGTAAGACTCCCTTAACAGCACCTTCTTGTCTCATCGCATGTCTTTACTTTTGTGTTTGTAAGGCATTTAAGAGTTATATTAATGTAATTTTAGACAAGTATTTGATATTTTTTAAGGTAGTGATTATAGCCTCAAATCTTTCAGGCACTGTTGTTATTATGATGTTTTTTATAATTTTAGAATCAAGAAATTTAGTGTCTAATAATCTTACCTTGTTAGTTATACTAAGTAGCTTGTCTGAGTATACTTTGATTGTCTTAGACTTGTTCATTCTCTAAAGTTCAAATTTTCTCATCAAATTCAGCACTTGCATGCTTCAAATTCTTTCATTTTTGACATATTTTTCCGTCAAATAATCCTAATTTGTCTTTGTTGTTTTTAAAGTCATGATTTTAGTGAAGATAGTTGTTTAAACACCAACAAAAAGACATGATTTTGCCTTTACTTTTCATATTTTTCTCTCCTTTTGACTTTTTATTTTAGCCACACTAGGATTGTGCAGTAGCAGAATAACTTCATAATTCTTTTCATCAACTTCTCAAAGATTCAAAGCTTCTAAATAAGTCTCCATTTTGATAGCCTAAAAATCATTATTAGAACCATAGTTATCAATAGCAGCCATAGTGGCCGCTATTGCGAACCCTCTAGCGTCGCAATTGAGTGTCGCAGCTGTTGTGCAGCGAACAATGGCTGAAAATCGCGTAAATCACTGCTATAGCGACCGCTATGCTGTCCTCCCTGAAAACTGCTCTAGAACAATGTGCATATATAAACGTTATGTTGCCTCGGGTTAATGAGTTATATGAAAATCATATCTTCAGGACAGAGGATTAATGCCTGTATATATTATATAGTCTTTTCCAGATTTTTGTCAGCATAAAACAAGCAAGCATGGCATACCCCTTGCTGCAAAGTCTTTTTCTTTTATGTGTGTATTATTTAACAGAGAAAAGAAACACATTTGCTATATTCTTCGAGATGCAGAACATCGGTGTATATGTGGTGATAGTGAGGAACTAGGGATATTATTTTGAATGACATTGCTAATATTAATATGTACCAATCGTTTCAAGTTTTAGTATTAATGAGCCATTTTTTATGCATCTCAACCATAGACATTAGTATATCAAACTCAACTTGAATTGAAGATCATCATTCTAAAATATGCATGCATGGTTTTAATCTCCCCAGGTGCTTGGGTCTATTGTTGGAGTTAAACTTCTTATTGATACAATTCCTGAAGTAGGACGGGGACCACGTCTGAATATTGACCTTCACCAGGGCGCACTGACAGAAGGATTACTAACTTTTGCAATTGTAACCATTTCACTGGGACTTGCCACTAGAATTCGTGAAAATTTCTTCATGAAGACTTGGATCTCCAGCCTCTCCAAGTTAGCACTTCATGTACTTGGCTCTGATCTGACCGGTGGTTGTATGAACCCCGCATCTGTAAGTACTGTTGCATCCTTGTTTACCTGTCACTACTTTGTTCACAGAACTTTGGTTATGTGAACCATAGAAAAAACCTGTGTTGTTTACTTTCTAAGAAACCTTGCTTGACTTGTTTAGGTAATGGGGTGGGCTTATGCTCGCGGAGATCACATAACAAAGGAACACATCCTTGTATACTGGCTTGCCCCCATCGAGGCAACTATTTTAGCAGTGTGGACATTCAAATTACTAGTCCAACCTGTGAAAGAAGATAGAGCAGCCTCAAAAAGTAAATCAGATTGAAGCTTACTCCATGTTGTGCTAAGTATCTAGTTCTGTTTTCGCTTCCATTATTATTTGTGCAGTTGATGGGATGAATGTGTGCCAAGCCAAGAACTGCTGGTGACTAATAATCATGGGTCACTGTGCATTGTATTAATGATAAGTTCTGTGTAAATACTTCATAGTCATACCCTATCAATTGTCCAGAAACAGTCTTTTTGTACAATACATTCTCTTGCATTCTCATGCAATGTACTATGAACCTTAATTTTGTGTACACTAACCACATTCCACAATTGATTAACTAATTTATTTAGATAATCAGAAGTATCCTTTTCTACCTTTTCTTAAACAATACCCTAATAAAATATCTCAATTCCACCCCAGCACTAGTTCATTCCGAAGTCATGTAAACCAAGAAATTCAAACTTCAAGCTTTATGGTTTCAATTCAGTAATTATTGGGGTGATGCCACTACTAGTAGGTGGTGTTGGAGGAAAATACAATCTTTTTTCCTAGTTGTGGATATATGATAAAACAAAGCTGAAAGGAGAGGAAACTCAAATGGGGAAAGAGGGTTTAACCGTAAAATCGGTGAATTTTGAAATACAGAACTCCAATACAACACTTTTGACAAGCGTAAAGGACTCAAACTTGTCAGTTGTCAAGCGAGGGGTTGTCTTAGGCCTGAGAAGTGTGTTGATTCTTGAGTTTTTCATGACAAATCACATTATTCATATGGCTTCCAATTATAATTTTCCATCTTTATAATTGAATATTAAGGCATAATTAATTGGATTTTGATCCTCTTATGTTGTTGAATAGCTTGTTATGGTTATATTACAGGGAAAATGACATAATTTTTATCAAATTAATTAGTGGGTCCTGTAACCAGTCATAACATGCTCTTATCTGATAACAAAATGGAACTTTTTCTCTCTAAAATGATTATGGGCCCGTGCCCTTTGCGTAAGGCTTGGAATCTATTCCTGCGAAAGTAGAAAGAAAATATCTGATGCCATTAAACTTACCTCATATTTTGTGTCATTTATATTTACAGATTTTGGATTTTCGTTTAATACAAAGTACAAACTCCTTTGATCCAACATGGAAACAGACAGGCACTATATTATGTTGTTCAACAATACGATATGATTCAAATTTTAAGTATCTCTAGGCTTCACTTTAGCCAAGAGATGCCACAAATTACAATGCATTCCCATTTGTCTAACTGTCGTTAATGAATTTGTCTTTCTCTATTCCATTTGTTATGTCTTCAGTCCTATTGTATCAAATGATGTAGCTATTGTTGGTTTGGAGTTCCTGTATTGATGTTATGACTGAGATTATGGTTATCTTGTAATCATGTATATAAGCAGAAGTATCCGTTGCACTTCATCTTTAATAGTATTCTTTGTCTTGTAAAAAAAGAGTGTCTTTCTCTAAAATTGCTCTACTTGATAAGAAACGGTTGTATTGACCTGTTGAGAACACCAATAAAAATAAAAGTAAATACTCAATGATCGTTCAAACATATATATCGTCAAGCCAGTTTGCAATGGATTTTGAACATTTGACTTGACTCTTCACTGTGCAAAATAAATATCAATTTAGGGACTAAATTTGTGTCCAAAAATATATAGGGGGTACTAAATTCCATTTTAAACATTGAGGGAATTTAGTTTCAAATCGTAAGAAAACTAACATAATGACTAATGTATTTTAGAGGACCGATTTAAATATAATTTAGGAGAATAATCAACTTTAGAATAAAACAATTTGTTGAATTGATAATGAGAAGCTTTTAAGACTTTCATTGAATTAAGATTAAATGCATATAATAATTACAGCAAAGTATAAAACCATCAATAATATTTTCTTAGTACTGCTTATCTTCTAACTTAAACCACTTCGAGCCTGTTGATTAGCACATTACAATGGAAGTTGGTGAGAATTTAAAAAAATTGGCTCTCAGTAAACGCAATTAGGGGAAAGCATAAAATTATGTTCTGATTGTATCAAATGGTGATACAAACAGGCACTTCTCCAACTAAAAGGAATCGATTTTTTATGTTCTGTTAATATTGTTGGCCAATGGTGACAAAAGTCCTTGTCATTTATCTGTAAGAATAAAGGAATTTCCTGGTGCCTTTTTCAATATTTGATGCTAGCTGGGGGTACCTGTATTCACATTCTTCACTTTATTTAATGTGTAAGAAACTAAGCTGAATTCAAAAGAAAGGTTGCTAAAAGCATGACAAAATTAGACAAAACAAAATCAACAGCTAAGGAATGGGGTCTGAGGGTAACAGGATCAATGTTTGCTGTTTACACCTTCCAATTGGAATACAAGAGTGAGGAAAGAATCGTTTCTTGATAAGTAACTCATAAGGTTAAGACTTCTAATGTACTTCTAAAAATACTAATAAAAGGAGATACAAGAGAGATGATTAAAACTAAAAAGGACCTCATCATGGTAAATGTTTCCTCACTGACTTGTACAACCTTGTTTTACTTTGGCAGCAATACTAGTAGTACTCAAGATGAACATTATGATGGAGATCGAAAGGATATGAGGAATTTATACACAACTTCAGTACACAAGCTGTGGTTCAAACTCTGCCAAATCTACTGATCCTGATTCAATTGGTGGCATTAGATATGTAGCCAAGAGTTCAGACACCAAGGCAGCAACCAGTGGGATCCTCTTTAAGTTCTTCACCAATGCCATGTCATTGCTCTCACCAACAGCAAGAATCTTCTCGTTTATCTCCACCATCCGGTCCAACCTCTGCTTGAACTCTGGGTTCTCGACATCAAGAACAGCTGGGAAAATCCGAGCAGTTGTGCGGTTTGTCTGAAAAACAATCCAGAAATGAAGCTTGAGTAACTGCTTGTAATTTGCGCATTCCGCATTTGTTCTTTGTTGATCAACTCTTACTTGTCACATGCTTTTAATGGTAACTCAAGCTTCCAGATTTCTTTCATTTGGTCAGTCAGTTACTAAATTTGTAAGTGAGTAATTGAGACAAACCGTGATTATAGCACATAGTAATGGAAAGTAGCACAATGAAATTTATATGGCTGTCGACAGTGATTGAAGCAAATATGCAAACACAAACTGACCTCAATTATGACATGCATGTCAAACTCTTTCGTGTCAAGTCCAATGCCTTCATAGAAAGCTGTGCGTTGGCAATCATTGAGATACATTGTGACGTAAACCTGCAGGACAAATTTGATAATTATGTTTTAAGCAGGGTTATGAAGGATAATAACCAAAACCTTATCATGAAAGACACAGCAAATGTGATCTCTTTGGTTGGTATAAATTGTTTCATGATTCTAAGGAATGTCAAGGTGAATGACATTATGCATCTTGGGTATACTTGTCATCCATATCAGTTAAGGTCTGTAGTATTCTGAATACCTATTTTTCTCTTGTAATCTCCATTACACTCTTTATAACATTTTAGCTTAGCACCAATTGTCACTAGGTACTGAGGTTTCAAGATTCAACTTGAGAATCTTAAAGGAAGAACGAAAAAATTGTAAACGAAAGAGAAAAAAATTACCGATAGACAGAAGAATCGAGCCCACAGCTTAGCCTTCCAGTCATTTAGAAATTGTGGCTGTGCCTTCATCAGGGCAGAGAAGAAGTCTCCATGCCTATTCTCATCTTGGCACCAGTTCTCAAAGTACTTAAAAATGGGATAACATTGGTACTCGGGGTTAGCCTTGAGATGTCTATATATGGTAATGTATCTCCAGTATCCAATTTTCTCAGACAAATATGTAGCATAGAAGATAAATTTGGGCTTGAAAAATGTGTATTTTCTAGCTTTTGTCAGAAAACCCAAGTCCAAAGCCAAATTGAAATCAGATAAACCCTTGTTCAGAAACCTGCATAGAATCAAAAGGATGAGGTCATGCAGTACCAAACAAGATATAAACTAGAAAATGAAAGAAGGAGAATTAAGAATTTAAGGCACAAGGTGAGTCTATACCCAGCATGCCTAGCCTCATCCCTAGACATCAGAGAGAAAATCTCAGCCACCACAGGGTTGGTTTTCTGTAATATCAACATCCCAAGAAATAAATCAGGCCAAGATTTAGAGACCAGAAGTGCATAAAGAACAATATTATCCAAGATAGCTCATTGTAAGACATGAAATGTAACAGAATCACATCAAACAACCACAATATCATAAAAGAGGAATCCTAGAACTTAGAATTAGAACTGTATCGAGAAAGAACAAAAATTATCTTATGATTATTTATACAGTTTTTAATACATGAAACAAAAACTTATACATAATAGATTTTTATTGAAAATCATAATATCACAAGATTTAATATATTAATGATATTAAATATTATAATTTTTAATACAAAATATTATTTTATTAATTTTTCATTACATGCCCTTGTACACATTATAAAAGTCGTTATTTATATTTTTCCCCCAAGGCACTTCTCTGGAAAAAAAATATATATCATTCTTTTTAATTATACCTTCGATATTAATTAAAAGGAGGATTACCAATTATGCCAAGTTGAATGTTGAATCATATTGTAAAGAAAAAGAAATGGACCAAACCTTGAGCCTCCTTCCAAGCTCTTTGTAGAGAAGGAAGCCAGAGAATTCAGCAGTGCAAGACCTCTCAAGGAACTCAACAAAGATCTGTCTTAGAGGGCCTTCAATTTTGTCAGCAGCTTCCTTGAACTCCTTGTTCCTCACGAAGTGTGTCTGGTTGTAATCAGTTTTGAACTCCTGAAGCAGTGCTTCAAACTCAGCCTGCTTGAGGTTCTTGTTGATCTCAGTGTTGAAAAGGGTCTCCATCTCATCAAAATCAGTGGTGTAGAACCTTGGTGTCAAAAGGGTCTCTTTGATGGAGGTTTTGTTCCCCTTCTTGCTTGGCTTTGTGGAGGTTGAAGTAGTGGTGGTGGTTGGGCTAGCAGACATTCTTATGATGCTGAATTTGGAGTATGAACCCATTCTGGGTGTGCCAAATTTGGGTGTCACATTGCTGAATTTGGAAATGGGTTTCACAAGAGCCATTTCTGCTGCCATAATTTTGATGGGCTTGTGGAGGAAGAAGCAAAGGTTTGAACTTGAGGTTGAGGACTAAGAAGTGTGCAAGACAACAAGAGAAAGAGTTATAAGTTGGATGGAGTGTGATAGAATCTCATCCAATGAAATCTTTGAACGTTAATTGCAACTTGACACGTGGCAGGTGTTGTAAGCTTCTCTTTGCTTCGTGATTGGTCGTGATGATTACATGTGGATGACAACTTGTGCCTTACATCGGATACGTGTTTTAACTTCGAACTCAGGTTTGTTTAGATTATTAGTACATAGTAATAAAAGTAAGTGTTTCTCTAGATTATAGTTAGAGGGTGCAGAATTGATGACAAATGAAATTGATTTTGTAATTTTATGTTTTTAAATTAAACTTGTTATAGAGTGATTTATATATAAATATTTTTATTAAAAAAATAGTCAAATTATGTTTTGAGACTGAAACATTGATAAACATACCACAGCTCAAATTTTACGCGTGTTGATTCAAAGATGAAATTTAATTTGCATTCTTTAAAACAGTTTATTTTAGATATTTCATTTTTCAGAATTTTCTTTTCCTGGCACTAAATTAACTATACATATAAGTTTCTTTTTGTCAACTATGTATAGATATAAGTATTATAATTTTTTCAGAATAGTGTTCTTACTTTTATTAGAGTAAAAAAATGGTAAGTAAAAGAAAACAACCAAAATAAAGGGTAGAAAAATAAGAACCTATCTTGAAAAAGATAGAAGGATTTATCCCTAGCAAATTGTAGAGTGTTGTACTAATGGCCTCCATCAACTATATAGCATTTGATATTTTTGAAGATTAATAATCTTAGTATAATAAAATCCAGATTTTTTCTTCTCTGGGAGCAAAAGCACCACCAATAGCAGCAATTGGGGCAGAAAGCCTACAACAGCAATGTAAACCACACATAGCAGGACCCACTGACAGAAAAGAAACAACAAAAGCTCGACCACAAAAATTCCCTTCTTTTGTTTTGGGTACAAAATATTAGATACAACTTTTGGAAAAATAGAAACAGATTTTACGTGCATAATCATTAGGTAAGATGTGAATTTGGGTGTTTTTTTAAAGTGTTAGGAAGATAATTTTTTTAATATATAAATAAACAACTAGATTTGCAGAACTTTGCTTCTCTCTTCAGATACTTATTAAAAAAATATATTAATATCATTTTTTAAGACTTATTTTACGTAATTAAACGTTTTAAAAAATATTCATTACAACAATAATATAAAATGTAATAAATGTTTTTTAAGAAAAACTTATTACTTTTAAAACTTTATAGCTAACTTTAAAGATTGATGTTAACAATTATTTTTTAAAGAAAGAAGATAAATTGGTTAGACAATACCAGAAGAAACATTTCATGAGTGTATTTTTTCAGCATTATCAAATATCATTTTTTAAAGATTGATGTTAACAATTGAGGTGATTTAAATATAAATAATGTAACTATTCTTTATCAAATGAGTTAAGCAAGTGAGTTTTTAAATTCACATTTGATTAGTCATAAATTTATGCTTATTCCAACATCATCAAATATAATTTGTGTTGGTTAACGTGTTTCCTAACGTAAACTAAATAGGTGCACCAAGTTAGACTGAACTGTCATTTCCGTTTTCTAATTCTTGCTTTAATTTTGATTAAGTGATACTTTTCCTCAACTAAAATTTTAAGGTGACATAATTTTAGCTTTGTTCCTTCAAGATTTCAGCCTTCTTTAGCGAGGACCTAAGGAGAGGAGATGTTTCATACAAAAATAAATCAGTGTCCTACATACAGAAATTCTAAATTTCTACTATTAAATGAAAAAATCATCCAATCTAGAGATCTTAACAAAGAACTGAGTGGAAGAGATAGGCACACCTAGCACAATACCTATCATAAACTTAGCCAGACAATCTTTCTGCATTATTTTGAAAGCAAGTGACGTTTACATCTTATAACAAACACTTGCCACACTTTTATACTAAAATGAGAGACAAGTGCAAGGTCAATCTCCCTATTTCCAGCATGAATAGCATCAAAGAACTTGTATGAGTCCAGCACAGTGGAAATTCTTACGAACCACAAATTGTTGCAACATTGGAAGCAAACCATCCTGAGTCTCTACTTCAAGGCACACAAGCAATCAAAGGGAGGACCTGAAATATAGACCAATCAAGGAAACAGTTCAAGAATGAAACTAAAATCACTTTCCTTTTTATATGGTACATTATGCATATTCAGCATGCGGGTACTTCGAGTAGAGTTGAGTGTGATTGTAGAGTCATTTTACTGTATTAAGTCAGAAAAAAGCATTTTTCATAGACAATGATCAAACTTGGGCAACATCTCATCCATGGACAAATGTAGGCCTAATCCAGTTTATGATTCCATTCATTTTACAGGTCCAAAACAACAACCAAAATTTTCAGGAAAGAAAAAGATGAAGAGTGAGAAGAAAACCTCTATTCAATAAAAACCAAGACCTGGCATTGTGGCTTAACATTAGTTATTCCTGTCATTGGTTTCTGTAATTGCAGATTCTCTGACTTTGACTCCACCACGGGAGCTTTGCCCAGACTGTTCTGTTTCATCTTCAATGCTTTGGAAATTCAAAACTGTAGCATTCGATGTTCGGGATGAGTCTTTTCCATCCTCAACACTGTAGAATGGATCAAAAGAAGGTTGTCCCTCCCCATCTGCAAACCTCATCTCATCCTCAAAATTATCAAAATCAAAATTTTGCAGGAGTTCCGGAATTCGCATACGTCCATCTTCTGTACGCATAGATCCCATTTCAATATCATATTTCTCCTTGGGGGTCAACATTCCATCTGCAATATTTGGAGTGAAAGACCCATCCATCATATGCTCATCCTCCACAACAAATGATCGAAAATTATTCTTTGAAGAGGGAATACTAGAACAAAGTGTTTCTCTGATATTTCTCAATGATCCTTTATTGAATGGGTTCCCCTTTTTATCATATTGGTACCTGAAGTTCTCGTAAGTTGTCTGCATGACAACAAAAGCAAAAAAAGTATAAGTAATCTTGAATCAATAAACAACAATTTAGTATCAACATATATCTATTAAAATAATCATCATATGGACAAGTCTCTGAAGAATGGGAGATACATACTGTAGATAAGTGTTGCAATAAAATAGATTATAATCAGCAGACCCTCTTTCTAATAGAAAGAAAAAGAAACTATCTTGAATATGAAAGTATGAGTAAAATAATTTGAGTATCCTGAAAATCAAATTTATAACAATCGCTCAAAGAAAATGGAGTTGACACTAAAATGGCCAAACTCAAGCCTGAGTTCAGCATGACCATAGAAAAAATAGTATGCAGTCACTCCCTTGGTCAAGATCAGAATTGAAGTTTGGAGGCCAAAATTTAATTGCCTATTTAATCTGGAACCAAGAAAATAAAAATAAGTTCAACCCAGTTCCCAGGAAATAATGTCTAGGATTGCTTTTTCTTTCCCAGTTACAAGTCCTTTTCAAAATTCATGAAAAAACTACACAATCATGTTATTTAATTTGATAGCCATCCTAACTGATGCATAACTATTAGTATGATTCATTCAGCTGCTGAAGATGCCAACTCCATATCCCAATGTCAGCAATGATACGTTATTATCCATAGCTAGCATAAAGCCAGGAAAAAAATTCATTTTTCCATGAATAGTGAGACAGTAAGGATGAACTTGATAATATAGTATACAGTCGCTTTTAAGTTAAATATCTATTTCAAACTCAGCTACAGAACTTAGTGTTCTATTCTTGTCTCACCTTTTCTCCATTTGCCTTCCTCTTAGATGATGAAAAGATAAATCTTTTTATCATTTCATCCTCTTTTTTTTATCATTCCCAAATTTCTAGTTTTTATTTTTTTTATACCAAACAGTTTCCCTTCCCTAAACCCCGCTAACTGAAATGATCCTGTCTGGCGACTGGTTTATTCATTTGATGCTCAAAATGTTTGTAACCATTGAAGAATATATTTGATCTTCCGACAAAATGAGGATTGCCAGAGTATAGTTAATCACTCGTTAAAATTTAAAGCATCTATCACCTGAATAATATATTAAACATTATCATTTTGTTTTCTGACAAATTCATCCATGTGAAATTTGAAGCAATACCATAGGAGGGAGCACAGAAAAATGGCTAAAGCATGTGATTGAGATGAATAAAGAATCAGAAATGATTAAGAAATTTTTCACATTTGGAGAAGTAAAATAGTCACCTGGTTTGTGCAAATAAGGTAGAAATGGAAAACTGTGAGGCCACCAACAAACCAGACAGCAATGAAGCAGTATACTATCAGAAAATCTGATACATAATCATGTGCTATTTTCTTCCAAACATTTTTCTGGGAAATACTGATACAAGAGAACACGAAGACATATATGCACAAAATGGTTGATGTTGATATAAACATGAAGAAGTACCGATAGTTTCGCTGCAATTATGTCATTATGTAAGAGAACGTTAGTACTTGTAAGAAATGAATGTAGTAGAACACTTGGAAAAGGGATCACTAGGAAGAAGACACATATAAACTGGGCACTCTGCTCTCTCTCATCCTCCCCTTAAAGGATAGGATGGAGTTAAATGCAGCAAAACCTATCTGCAGGTGAACATAATATCCCCTACCAAACAAAAATCAAAATGGTCCTTGATAAAACAATTACTGCCTTTATAGAAGAATGTTGCCATATTCTATGGGTAACCTTATGCTCATTTCCTTATGCATCCATGTTGCATTATTAGGAAAATGATATCATTTTCTATAATTAAACATTTTATTTTAGAGTTTTCATGGATTCCCTAGTTTCAGCACCTTTACAATTTTTTCAATTGCATTACTTAGAGGAATTGATTACTCATAGCTTCTGCTAAAGAATGGATTGGCTAGGAAAGTTCTTGCCACATAGTAGTAGCTCGTATAGGAAAATTGTAGTTTCCAAGGAAAAGATGCTAAGAAGAGTCCAAATCTAGATTATCTTCCACGGAAGGAACATGGACATCAAAATATTAACTAACATGTCAAATGCAGGACTTCCTCAATCCCAAATCAACATAAAATTGCAAATTATATTTCAATCTTTCTATGAAATGATACTTGAGTAGTATGCCACTTGATTTAAGGTGATCATCACTCCAATATCCAATCAGACAAATTTTCAAAAAGTAATAGCATGCAGAGCCTAGAGGTACTCATCTTTCTTGCAGAACAAAAAATTAAAACAATCCAAACATTCTTGTTCAATTGTGAGGTTTGAGTGTCAATTGATTAGATCTAAGTTCGGAGAGTTTTTAAAGAAATGGTACATTGCAGTAAGTAGATGTATGGAACCAGCTTGTCACTACAATCCAAGACACATACTAACTTCATTAACCAGCTAAATTGTAGTCATCAAAAGGATTCAGAAGCTCAAGACTGTATACTTTCAAGTACATTCTATAATTGGTTTAAACTAAGTTCCAAGTAGCATAAATATATGTTTTGTCGGATAAAAACATGTAACGTTATATCCTTGAATGTTTCTAAATTTCACTTGTTACATTATAGTGAACTTACTATTCCAATGCACTGGCCAACCCAGGGACAGTGATGATCAAATCTCTGGACACAATTGTTGCATATAGAACAATGAGAAGTACGAGGAGGGCGATAAAGCAAGCAGGTATCACAGAACTTCACTTTCACTGCATGACCATTAATCATTACATCTTTAGTTCGAGGTAGTTTCATATGAGGGGTTGAACCATTAATCCACTCCATGGAAGGAGTAGGTATGTCATATGTATCGTCAAATTCAGGAGGTCTTGAATTTCTAGGAACAATTCCAGGATCTCTCCCAGAAGTCAAGAAGAGGAACATTAAATCCTGCACGAGTTGTCTGACATATCAGCTTTTACTTTCAAAATAAGAAAGGAGCTCTCATCATAAGCTATGAGGAAAGAATAAAATGAAAAGGATCAAGGATCAATCAATCCTGAGAATGAAAATGAAATCATGTCATTATATTTACGGAAACTTATCATGACAGGGGTATTATTGGGCTGCGTTTGCACCACTTGTACTACATCAGTACTTGACCTTGGATATAAAAAATAGGTGCACTGAGTTTGAAGTAACATCACATACTGACATATTAATATTAGTCAGAGTCCTTTTTTCTCTCATTTTTGTTTTCTCTATTCCCCATCTTTTCCTTATAATCTCAATGGTATTAGAGCCATTATTATGACTGAGTGGTCACAAGTTTGAACATTGCTTCCCCTATTGTCCATAATTAAATTTTAATTTCAGCATAACATGAATAAAACATGTGTAATACCCACGGTGCATTACTAAAGGGCCCTTGTATGAAAAGGCATGTCAAAGATATATAACATCCTTGGACCTTGGGCCTTTAACTATTGGCACAAATTTTTAGGAAAGTGTGCCTTTCATCTTGGACAAAGGTATTCAAGTTTCAGGGAAAAGCTAGATATTTTGTAAAAGCTAAACAATTTGAAATATATTTATTTTTTCCTTAATAAATAGTAAAGCAGATGCATACTACTTAAATTACATCATATTTGATAAAATATGTAGATCTGTAATCTATGTAAAATTAATTTTCTTTTTTTATATATATTCAATATTATAATTTCTTACTACTGCGTAACCTTAATCATTTCTTATTTATGCATTAGATAACACCACACATATAATTATGCATTATGAAATTTTGGCTTTCTAGTTTTGTAACTGAAAAACACAGAATGAACTTATGAGTTGAAAAGTAGTTTCTGTAAAATCTTCAAGGACAAAATGCCAAGGGTATTTACCAAAACAGTGAGAACTGCACCCACAATCAATACAGGACACCAATGATCATTACCAGGACCCTTCTTGATTTTAAGATATATCTTTACACAAAATGCAATTGCAGGTCCAGCAATTAGGAATGATGTAAGAAACAGGGAAGCTACATCAGGACCAAAAACCAGTCTCCCACCACAGAAAAACTTCTGAAAAAATTCAAACAAAGAAGAATTAATAAAGTATAACATGCTTTCCATTGCCTCAAGATATCAAATCATGTTTATTTTCAATCCAATACAAAAAGATAAAAACTTTCAGATGGTAGACATTTACAAGCTTAAATAATCCATAGCCAAGTCAAAATTTATCTATGGAAATGAAATAAGAAGAGGGCTTGAATTGAAGTGTCACCGATAACTCAAAAGCTTCCCCACATCAAAGAATCATGGGTTTACCCTCACGTCTGCAGGAAATGGACATAAGGGAAGGGAAACAACAAAAATGAAAGATTAACCAGACATTCGCAAATAGCAATTCCAAGCATTAGTTTTTGTCTGTAAAATATTAGAAAAGCCAATTTACCATCATCATTCACTTTGAAACATGGAGTTCTCAATTATGCAAAGAAAAGTAGAAAACAATATTCACTTTGAAACATGCTTAACCCGACAACCAAAAGGGCTGGATTCCACAGCGAGAAAAACCATATTCAGAAAAAATAAAAATAAAAAGGAAAGTCCAAAAATCACAACAAAACAGAACCAAAGCAAAGACAAACAAGTCACAACGAGTTCAAACTGAGATTGAATTGTGACCAAACACACAATCAAATCACCATCAAAATCCAATTTTGAGTCATGAAAAGCAATAAAAAAAATAAAAAAACTCACGTTGCTTCCCCTCCAAACTTGATAGAGCCTCCATTGTTTCGTATTGTGGACCACACTGCTTGAAGGAGAAGCCCCCATATGCTGATTTCTATCCCCAACCATGGCAACAGCACCACCTTGTGTTGTGTGTCACCAAAATTGGCCTTTCCCCTTCACAAAACCCATAAAACCCAATTCAAGTCCCACCCAGACCCAGAATCCTCTTAAAAATCCAAAATTTCGTTCTGGGGTTCCTCCAATAAGCCTCCTTTTGCACTGAAAAGGGGCAATGCAGAGAGAGAGAGAGAGAGAGAGAGGGAGAGAGAGATGTCTATTGTTGTTGACGATGATGTTGGGATCACCGCAATTGAGAATGAAGCTGTGACACCAAATCCAAACCGGAAATTGAAGGGATCACCGGAAGACGAGAATCTCCATGTCCCTTTTTCTAATCAATCCCTCCTCAAAGTTTTCGAACTTTTATGTTATTGTTTCTCTCTCTCTCTCTCTCTCTAAGTTTTGTTCTTTGTTCTTCTCTCTCTCTCCCTCCCTCCCTCCCTGGAATCCAAAGTGCTGGCAGCTTTGGGGGCTCTCTGACGGATTTCCCAATTCTTCGCGGCTTTTACGCGCGTAATCTGTCTTTTTCCGTTACAAAACTATAAAACGGTACCGATGATGGAAAAAAAAAATTTACAATTACAAATAAAATTTTCATTTCCACTTATAATTAAATATTTAAAACAACTTTTGAATGAGATGCGTGATCTTTCATCGTTATTAAACATGTAGTAGTTCCGTTGCTTATTGTTGCCATCCTTGTTTCAGTTTATAAATTTTAGATAACGAATAAAAACTACATTTATTTATTAAAAAATAAATAAAAATGAACTTTCTAAAAGTCCGATGTTGCAAACTCATAGTACTGAAAAAACTATTCACGCATAACATAAATCTATTCAGAAAAAATAATTCTAGAACTGAATTTTATAGTAAATATAATTTTTTTATTAGTATGTACAGTAATTTGGACAATGTACTTATAATTAGTCTTACAAATCATTCTCGACATCCACACGAGAGTGTTGTACTATTTGTATGTCCCTAATCTCTTATCATCTTTCCCTTGTCCTTAACCTAAATTTACCTCTAGTGAATTCTAGATCTGTCCCTAATACTCTTAGTAAGTTAATTAATTAAATAAATATTAAAAAATATTATTATATTAATATATACATTCTTATAATAATTTTTAAAATATTTTCACTGTAGTTTTTAATTAAGCTAATTAAGCGTTTAATCCTTATAAAAATTACATAATTTAGACTTAATTCCTATAAAATATTTCGTTAAGGTATAGTTTTTACTTTTTCACAAATTTTTATTCATTTTAGCTTATGTGTTCTTAGAGAAATAAAATCAATTTGTGAAAAAGTAATGACTATATAATAAAAAAAATATTTTATGGAGACTAAGTTCAAATTCTTTTGTATAATTAAATACTTAATTAAGTTTCTTAATTATTTTTTATTTGTTAATTTTTTAATTTATAATTTTAAAACACTTGTTTTGAAAGAATAAATACGAATGAATGTGCGACCAATTTGTAATAAAATAAGGGTCTTAACAATATATTGGTTGAGAAATTAATAAATAATAAAAATATAAGAATGAGTACTTTTTATGTTTTTTAATAAAAACTATTTTTAATTTTTTATCCAATATTTAAATATTGATTATATATATAACACGCACATCTTGTAATGGTGGGTGCCATGAATGTGAGGCGAAATTTCCAAGGGAGTGGGTCTAGAATATCCTTTATAAATTAGGAGTCATGTCAATATATTGTTTAAAAAATAAAAAAATATTAAAATTTATATTAAGATATACTAAAAATGATGAGGACAGGTATTTTTTTATCAAAAAATTATTTTAAAATTTTTAATTAATATACATTGAGAAAATTCATTAACATTTTCTAATAAAAATAATTATTTTGAGTTTTGTTAACTTCAACATAAAAGATTGAGTTTAAACATGCATAAATAATAAAAATTTATTAAATAATAAATGTGAATTTTTTCTATAAATTGTTTTTTTTTAACTTAAATTCAATGCTAAAATTAAGGTTAATAAAATTCTTATTTTATTGTCATAAATTTTAAAAATTAAATTTAAACATATAAAGGTAATATTTAAAAAATTATGTATATATCATATTTATAATTTTAATATTTCATTCTTAACATAATTTTACTACTTTTAAATACTTAAAAATAAAACAAAAATGTAGAAAACCGATAAATTAAATGAGTACTTAGTTGACAGGCAGATATGATGGCAATGGAATGGTGGAGAGAGATATTATATTATACTTATTATTCAACTAAAGATGCTGCTTTTATTGGAAGAAGCTGGCATTTGGCACAACGTGGCATCCAATAGCAACTAACTACAACTTGCTTGGTCAAGTTTCATCTTCAATTTTTAACTCACAAATCTCAATATAGTGAATTGTCTTCTTTTTGTTGTATGTTATCCATTGAAACCTGGTTCTTAAGGTCAAACCTAAAATAATGGCTGTTTGTTCAAGGAATTAAAGATACATCCTCGCAAATTTTAATATCTAATTAAAGGGACCCATTAAGATGCATAGAATGATCCATAGAAAGAAATGTTTTTTCTTTTCTTTTTCTCAACAAGAAATGTTTTAAAAAACCTAGAATCTCTATGGACAACATGGCAAGCCTGCCAGCTTAAAATAATAAGACCATATACTAATACTCACCTCACTTTTATAACTTGTTGATTATTACAATTTTTAGTTTTATAAAAATTCTATTTTGATTCTCAAATTTTTAAAATAGCATTCGTTTTAATTTTTTCCAATGCAAAAAGACAATAAAAAGTAAAATAAATAAAAGAATAAAATGATTTAGTTATATAAAAATAATTATTAAAGTGGGATTTTTATACAATTATGGATCAAGGTAATTAATGCTTGCAATTTGATGAACTAAAATGATTATTTATTCATTTTCAATGATATGGAAGTTTATAATTAGATGACAATTTACTGAAGTTTTAATTAATTCTCTAATTCAAATAATCATTAATAATCTTTTTATAATTTTAATATTTTTTTTTTACTAATTTCTTATAAACTAATACAATTAAAATTCCAAAAAATAGTATTGTTGGAATATTTAGTAGTATTAATTTCTTTAATGATGTATAACAATGAATTTTTCTAGCCCTTGGTTGATCATCATAGATGCTAGTGAGATTAATGAAAGGAATTAAGCATCAATTGCTAATATACGAAGGTCTTCAATTTTTCTTTTGTGAAATGAAAGTTAATGAATATGATTGCTAGAGTGTTATCAAAATACTATGCACAAGAAGTGCAAGTTGTTTTGAAATGGGATAACCATCTTTTTAAATATAAGAACCTTATAATTTAGTTATGAAAGAAGTAAAAAAGAAAGAAAGAGATTTTGAGATAATTGATAAGTTTATTGGGGAGGTGCACAAAAAGACAGGAATAAAGAAGGGCTAGTGTGAAATTGAGGAGATTATCTTTCAACTTGGAGGATTTTCTACTTATAATGAAAGGAGAGAAAGGCTAATAGTTTGAAACAAGGAAGGAGAGAAATGAGCTAAACTAAATATGTTGCATAAACTACATACGCTTTTGGTGAAAGTAAGACCAATGAGCACATCGGTTATGATGTCTTTCTTGGTGATAGATTTTACTATGACAAGTCAGCAATGCTTGGATGAAATGTTGACTTCCATGCGAAGAACGGGCCAATGCTTTGGAGAAGATCTAACAAGGAAGGAGTGAATAGAAGATGCCCCTATAACTTAACAAAATTAGAGATGGATCTTACAACAAATGCATCTGGATTTCATGGAAATTTGAAAACAGAACCCCTTATGGTTCCTTAATTGACTATTTGTTTATTGAAATTAGTTTTCAATTTCAAGTTGTTTGCTTGATTGACAATTTGTTTATTGAAAAAACATTTTTTAGAATAATTAACTATTTAACAAAAGATTATTAGCAAGTATATACCTTTAAGGGTTAAGTGTTTGACATTTAGAAAAAGCAGAGAGTGACACTTTCCAAAGCATGCTTAATAGCCCAACTCTCCTCACATAAGTAAAAGATGTCTAAAAGAAATTGGAAAGTCAAGTTTAGATCTATTAAGTCAAGTACACTTTAGGAAGCAAAAAGTTATAATGCTCCCAAGGTCAGTCATCAATAAGTGAAAGCGTCCAAAGGACTTGGAAGGCAAAGTGTGAATTTTTGTTTGTGAGATAGTGACTCGTTGAAAAGTAATAAAGAGATTTGTGACATCCAGGTGCTAGGCAAGTGCAGGGAGTGATCGTTGGTGCAATGTGGCATGGATAATTCCTAACAGACTTCCGGCAAGTGACATATGAATGAATCGAACTTACACTGGAATAAAAGGGATCCAGAGACTGTGTATACAGTTGATGATAACTTAAAGGAATTAATTAAGACTATCTATACCAACAAAATGCATTTACTTTTTGGTAGTCTATCTCTTAAGAACTCCAAAGTTAAGTGTGTTTAACTTGGAGAAATTATGAGATGGGTGACCTTCTGGGAATTTCTCAGAAAGTGTGTGATTCGAGGACAAACAAAGCAGCTGGAATGAGAGGAGTGCAGAGGTTGTTTTCAAGTACAAAAAATACTATGATTTAATTGCATGAACCAAAATAGGGCATAATAGATTAAAGAAATTTTATGAATAATTTAAATTAAATAATAATAAAAAAGAAAAGAACATGACATAACTTTTGACAAGATAATTATTAGAGACAAACCTAAGGTATAGGATTTTACCTTTACACTTTATTATGTTCACTTTTAGTTTAATTCTAATCATGGTTTCACTATGATCACCAATCATTCATACTAAAACTAATAGCACATAATCACCATGCAATATATATTAATATTCTTTCTCCTAAACTATCATCTCTAATGGTCATGCAAGGTAAAAAGAGAGGAAAAACATAAAGAAACTATAAGTTTATTAATTTAATAACTGATTGAAAGAGAAAAATTAGGTTTGATCTATTTAATTTTTTATCCCATTTTATCCTATAGCTTCATTAACTACATGTGATACGATAGCTTACAGTGCAATCAATTATGATATGTTAAGATTGATCAATTCTAAACATATAAATATAAACGCATTAGAGCTAAATTAATCTAAAAAAAAACTGTAATTATCATTAAACATAAAGATTACATAAAATATGCAAAATATCCAACGTAACCTTACCTATAGATTTAACTACTTATAATGAAATAGGAAGAGAAATAATTGTAAATAAGTCTATATTCATTCAAAAAGAAAGCACAAACTAAAGGAATACCAAAGGAAAAGAGATGAAGAGAGTTTTTATTCCTCAAAACACTCTCGATCACTTGCTCAGACCCCAAAAAAGTATCATTCATCTTCACCA